TATTTGATCAGAATTTTTGATTATTGATTAGAAGGTGCTCCTGAAATTTTTGACTCTGCTCCTAAATGTTTTTTTTTTATTTTAAAAGAAAAGTACGTGCAGAGCCCTGTTTAACCACTTTTTATTAATTAAAAAATTGAGAAATTCTCTCAAATGTAAATCTTTTACAAGAATTACAGCAAAAACCAGTTTGATGCAAGAATATACAGGTACATCTAAAAAAAATTAGAATATCATGAAAAAGGTCAATATTTTTTGTCACTCATTTCAGAAAGTGAAACCCATATATTATATAGATTCATTATACATAGTGAAATATTTCAAGCCTTTATTTCTTGAAATTTTGATGATTATGGCTTACAGATAATGAAAACCCAAAATGTCTGAAAAAATTAGAATATTGTGAAAAAGTTCAATATTGAAAATATTGGTGTCACACCCTAATCGGCTAATTACCTCAAAACACCTGCAAAGGTTTCCTGAGCCTTTAAATGATCTCTCAGTCTAGGTCAGTAGGCTACATAATCATGGGGAAGACTGCTGACTTGACAGATGTCCAGAAGACAATCATTGACACCCTTCACAAGGAGGGCAACCCTCTACATTGCGAGTAAATCACTCGCATATGCGACTAAATCTTCACTCTGGCGACTAAATGATGTCTAATATTAGCCAATTGCTAATAAATTCTCAGATTTTACTCGCCAGTGTGTGAGTTGGAGGCTAAGTATAAGTGTAGCTCAGATATATTTTCACTTGCCGAACACTCTCTGACTGAGCGCTTCAGTGTTTCACTCTCTGCTAAGTGATCTCTGCTGTTTTTCAGTTCGTCTGAATGGATGTGCAACGCACAACGTACTGTAAACTCTAGTGTGAAGGCGCACGACTCGCCGTCGCTTTTTCACACACACGCGGAGAGAGAGAATTGACGCGCTACATGTAAACGATATTCTTTGTTGTATTTTGCTGTCAAAATAATGGAGTTTCTTTGGAATTCTTCCGCTTTTAAGAAACTAATAGGTGGAACTACTGCGCAAACGGCAATCTCATTGGCTGGCGCTCACCTATTATCGTCCCTGTTTTGATTTCAGCAAATCAGTTCGAGCGAACGCGCACAACCTGATTAATATTCATGAATCCAGTAGCTCATTAATCCTTGGTGCGTTTTATATTGTTCTTATTAGTAGAATTTGTATCATTATTATCTAATCAGTATTTTTGTTAGTTTTTCCACAATTTTAATTTTTTTTTTACAGAGACACTGAATGACCAAAAAAGCACCACCACCAGTCCGAAGTTCAGTTAAAATGTTTAATGTAAATGTTAAGTGTAAGTGAAAAGTTAAGTACTGTAACAGGTCTTTCGGGATGCTACATATGCTGGGGTGTGAATTTGATAGGTGCTTGAAATTAAATAAATAGTGCTTTAAAAAGTACTTGAAAGTCCTTGAATCTGGTGTTCATGAAAGAGTGGGAACCCTGTGTATGGTTTGCGATAATATCGTATTTGTTTTAACGATGTGCGATTTGATATTATCGAGTATATCGCGAAAAGCAAACAAAACACACCTACAGAGTGCACGCATACATTACGTGAAGAAGTCTTAGTAGTTTAGCCTAGTGTGCGTTCTTTCACTGCATGAATCAGTCTATTCAAATGCATTTAGAATGATCACATAATTCAAGATATGGGAAACTATATTTCATATAGTTAATATCACACGAAGAGTGACACTTTTTTTCTCTCCAAAAGTCGGCATGATTACAAATGTGTTATTTATTTTATACAACAGTTCAATAAACAAGAAGTTAATATGACTTACGTTTTAGACACCATATTAACCTGTTTTTGCTCCATTTCTCCAACAAAAATCATTCCGAACACAGCCACAGTGCTGTTTTGTGTCTCTGAGTGACAGGACGGTGTTTTGTTCCTGAATGAATCACCCATTTAAATGATTTGGTTCAATCGCAATGAATCACTTACTAACAGGGATTTTCTGCCACCTACTGGTGGTTTTAATTTCAAATTGAAGGTACCTTTTCATTTGAAAATAATTTCAAACATCAGTTTTCAATGTTTTATGTTTAAAATATCAAAACATTATTTATGCATTTGTAACTGCAGGTTAAAGTATTCCATGTCCCTCAGAGCTGCATTAAACAGTGTGTAAATGCATCTGAATGCCACTTCTAATGCAGCTAAAGATTTAATATACATTTTGTTGATACTGATTTAATTTGCTTGGTAACAGCCCAAATGCAAGAATTTCAATCAAAAGATGGTACATACTTTTAGAAAAAATGGCTTAAAGGTAAAAATGCCCACAAAACTTGATGGAAATAATGAATTTCTATCACTGCTGTGAACTGACCACAGTATATGAAGAATATCAAAAACTCTAGGAGTCAGCTGTCCATGGTAGTCCTTAAGATATCAGCACAGTAACACACTCAGCAAAATATTGTGTAATTATCGTTATTGATAAAATCCCAGAAAATTATCGAGATATCATTTTTTGTTAATATCGCACACCCCTAATGTATGTTGTTTAATTGATATAATAATTTATTGATAATAATAGTTTAATATAATTCATATTTTTGACTCATCCATTTTCTTTAAAGTGGTTCAAAGGCTGAAATGTAAAGTTTATAATTTTACAAAACTTTTTGTTTTTGTAAAAATATGTATCTGAACTGTAAATTATGCTTTTTACAGTTACCTCGATGATCCTCAACTGTTTTTTTTTTTTGTCATGAGATGTTCATGAGTCCACTGATTCACTGATGCTCAAGAAGGAAACACAATGCATTAAGAGCCAGGGGTGTAAAACTTTTGAACAGAAACAAATAATGTTCAAGATTGTTCTGAAAATAATGTTTCTTACCTTTTCAAAAAACTTGTATATAAAAAGATATGGTGGGTGTTGAAGTCCTGCTGCTTCAACACCCACCATATCCGCTAATTGTTCAATTTGTTTGGGCTCAGCTTTTGCTTTCTCCCACTAAAACTACAAAAATAAGACAGAAATGTGAGCTACCATAACACAGGGATTGGTTAAATTAGCATTAATTCTTACAGTTGCTGGATTGCAAAATCTTAGTGTAAAAACCAGTTTGGTTTTTATCTATTAAGAGAGATATAAACAGTTCTAAACAAATAAAACAACTTTGGTGTTTATGTAAACTACCTTAATGACATTAGCATATCAGTATGTTTTTTTTTTTTTTTTTGGGAGAGGAGAACTTATACCTTTTTTCAAAATCCAATTAAAGGGAGTCATAAGCTGCAGGGATGGTTCATCAAACATTTTATACTGCCCTAATAGAAATCTTTCACTACCCTGGTGCCTTATTTGTTTATAATTATATTTTTTAGAAGAGATACTACATAGACTTTCAGTTTATTTTGGTTTATCTTTGAGTTATAAAATTGTTACTGTGTTTACTTATTTCATGTGTTATCTATCTCTCTTTAGAAATGCTGATCTTCAGCATCTGTCTGTTTTGGAGCTGTCCGACTCCACAACTCCTACATCTAGAAGATCAGGTAAAATGAATGAATTGCCTCAGTATAGACAGTGTATGACAGATGATGAGAACGCTGATTGAACATGCTGTTGCTTCTTTTTTTTATTTTAGTGTTGAATCCTCAAACTGTGGTGGAGTTGTTCTACCAGAATGTGGCCCGTAAAGCCATCATGTCTCAGATCTTCTCCCAGCAGGATGTGGAGGGCAATCAGACCATGTTGCACTGGTCACAAATGATCTCCAGTGTCCTGACACTACTCTGCCAGTTTCTGTATCCTCTTTATGTGTAGTATGCTGGACACCAGTGTTGTCATGATAGCAAAGTTTCAGTAGTCGGTACCAATATTAATTGAATTGAATGATTCTCTATATGAATTTCGGTACCAAAGGTACAAAACTTTGGTACTTGATTTATACTTGAGTTAAAAAAATATATATAATAATTGTAATACATAATATGTAAAACAATTATATTGTAAATGTCAAGTAATTTTGAACTAAACGCATATATAGCCTCATAACATTAGTAAAATGTCAGAGATACAGAGAGCAAAGAAGCACAGTACAACATAAAGATTTGTTCATAGTCCCTTTAGACATAATTGACTGTGTAAATATTTGTCATACAAGTATTTTGGATTATACAAGCAGAGACGCACACAGCCACGTGTCCCGGGTGCCTGTTAGAGCACACAGACTTTCATCTGCACTTGATTAGTAAAATGTCAGAGATACAGAGAGCAAAGAAGCACAGTACAACATAAAGATTTGTTCATAGTCCCTTTAGACATAATTGACTGTGTAAATATTTGTCATACAAGTATTTTGGATTATACAAGCAGAGACGCACACAGCCACATGTCCCGGGTGCCTGTTAGAGCACACAGACTTTCATCTGCACTTGAGCATTTTAAAGCAGTCACCTGTCAATCAGCTCATTTCATGTATGTTATCATACTAATCGGTTCTCATTTTAGTATCAACTTGGTGCCTAAGTACTGCTACTTTTGACGTCAAGTCAAGTTACCTTTATTTATATAGCGCTTTTAACAATACAGATTGTGTCAAAGCAACTATACAGCATTAATTAGGAAAATAGTGTGTCATTAATGCAAAATGACAATAGTAAACACCCAGTTTTCAGTTAAAGGCAGTTCATCATTGAATTCAGTGATGTCATCATCCAGCTCAGTTCAGTTTAAATAGTATCTGTGCAATCAAGTCGATGATATCGCTGGAAATTAAGTGTCTAAGCAAGCCAGAGGAACCAAAACTCCATCGGTGACAGAATGGAGAAAAAAAACCTTGGTAGAAACCAGGCTCTGTCAGGAGGCCAGTTCTCCTCTGGCCAGACAAAACCAGCAGTTCAATTCCAGGCTGCAGCAATGTCACATTGTGCAGAGGACTCTACTGGTTCCTGTGGTCTTGTCCCGGTGGCCGTCTAGGAGACAAGGTCCTCGCTGGGGATCTGTCTCTGGGGCTCATCTAGTTGTCCTGGTCTCCGCTGACATTCAGGGCTGTAGAGGTCCTCTCTAGGTGCTGATCCACCATCTGGGCTGGATACGGACTGGATCCGGGTGACTGCAGGCACCATCTGATCTGGATACAGGCTGGATCTGGTGGCTATGGTGACCTCGGAATAAGAAAGAAACAGACTAATATTAGCGTAGATGCCATTCTTCTAACGATGTAGCAAGTACATCAGGTGTTATGGGAAGTGTTCCCGGTTACGGTTGTCCTAATTAATGCAGCCTAAGAATCCTTTAACGGATTTGAATATTAGAAATGTGTTAGTGTGTTGTGTAAGCCAGGTTAAAGAGATGGGTTTTTAATCTAGATTTAAACTGACAGAGTGTGACTGCCTCCCGAACAATGTTAGGTAGATTATTCCAGAGTTTGGGCGCTAAATAGGAAAAGGATCTGCCGCCCGCAGTTGATATGGTCATACTCTCTGGTTCTAGTAAGAACTCTAGCTGCTGCATTTTGAACCAGCTGGAGTTTGTTTATTAAGCGTGCAGAACAACCACCCAATAAAGCATTACAATAATCTAACCTTGAGGTCATGAACGAATGAAATCACTTTTCTGCATTTGACATTGAGAGCATAGGTCGTAATTTAGATATATTTTTTAGATGAAAAAATGCAGTTTTACAAATGCTAGAAACGTGGCTTTCAAAGGAAAGATTGCTATCAAATAGCACACCTAGGTTCCTAACTGATGACGAAGAATTGACAGAGCAACCATCAAGTGTTAGACAGTGTTCTAGAATCTAGGTTATTACATGCAGAGGTTTTTGGCCCAATAATTAAAATCTCTGTTTTTTCAGAATTTAGCAGTAAGAAATTACTCGTCATCCAGTTTTTTTATATCGACTCTGTATTCCGTTAGTTTTTCAAATTGGTATGTTTCGCCGTCCCGCGAAGAAATATAGAGCTGAGTATCATCATAACACCGTGTTTCCTGATGATATCTCCCAAGGGTAACATGTAAAGCGTGAAAAGTAATGGCCCTAGTACTGAGCCTTGAAGTACTCCATACTGCACTTGTGATCGATATGATCAGTGTTGGGGGTAACACATTACAAGTAACGCGAGTTACGTAATCAGATTACTTTTTTTCAAGTAACTAGTAAAGTAACACATTACTTTTTAATTTACAAGAGAATATCTTGAGTTTTTCAAATAAACAAGTTCCTTTTTTTTTTTTCAAATGTATTGATTGACAGCTCTCCTGTCCCCATGTTGAGAGAAATCAGAAGATGTTAGTGTAGTTATAAAATAAATATGAATATGCATTAATTCATCTCACTCACAAAAAAAATAAATAAGGATTCAGTATTCCTCAAAATGAATAAAAATAATGCAACTCAGAATATGACACAAACCTGCAATAATTAAATGTTAAACAACACAAATATCCTTTATGTATTTAATCCCATTCTATTAAGCAATGTCTTTGCTTCTGACCTTCGATGATCCAATTCAACCGTACTAATAAGCAAACATTACTCTAGACAAACATGTCTTTTTTTTATTGCTGAAGTGTTGAAATTTCTTCTTCTGCATTCTACTGTACGGACATAAATGTACTTTCCCTTCAGCCTGACTTCATTTCACTTTTGGTGTGAAAAGGCGCTTTTATATTTGCCAAAAATAGAACTTTTTTATTTTAAAAACAAACAAGCAAGCCCTGTCCAGATTAAAAAAGAAACGCAAAAGTAACAAAGCATTACTTTCCATAAAAAGTAACTTAATTAGTTACTTTTTTTATGGAGTAACACACTATTGTAATGCATTACTTTTAAAAGTAACTTTCCCCAACACTGGATATGATACCTCTTCATTCCCTGCTACGAATTGATGGCGGTCAGATAAGTACGATTTGAACCATGCTAATGCACTTCCATTAATGCCAACAAAGTTTTCTTGTCTTTTCAAAAGAAACATCACTACTAGACACTTGATATTTTCAGCCAGTTCTTGATTGTAAAGCATCTGGGTGGTGTAATTCATGAGTTTAGTATTTCCCTTACATCATTTCACTAGCTGGCCCAGCAATCCCAGTTTCCTCTTTCCTGAATGCCTGATGTTAAACTGCCAGTATACACAACTGCAGGTGAGACACCAGTTATCACTTGTCTATTTTCCCAGAAATATGATTTGCCGGATTGTATATGGTCCTCATAAAAATACAACAGCAAAGGAACTATAATTACGGTCTTCAGATCCGTGAATGTGTGTGTTCCTTGCACCAGTTAATATTTAGTTTTTGCTTTTAGGTTTTTTTATTTTTGATTTAGTGATTTTAATTCCTGTTTTTAAGTAGTAATCATCAGTCAATAGTTTTTTGACAATGTTTTTGTTTTAAACCTTGTTTGCACAGTGTATAGCCTACATATATTCATCATAGCCTCATATTGCACATTGTTCGGAGGACAACATTGGGCATGATGTAGAATACATTTAAAAAAAAATAATGGATTAAAAGTAATTATTTTTAATTAAAATGATTTTTATATATTTTTTCATCCGAGTAATCAAAGTAATAATTGATAGATAATTATCTTGTTGCTTGGGGATCAGATATATATTGGCCAAATTAGAACTCACAATGTCATTCATGTAGTTTTTCACAGTCTCCGCTGTCTGCAGGTCGCTCTTAGTTCAAATTCTATGGAGCATCCATTGTAGACATGGCTGCTGGATATTGATCTAGCACCAATTGTATTATTTCTGCAGCTGCTGTCGTCATTATTTTAGTCCTCCTTCCTCTCCTTGATTTATTTAGATCTGAATAAAGACTTCTGGGTGGAAGGTCTTAGCTGACTGGGTCTGTGTATGTCTCATTCAAGTAGGGTTGGGTATCGTAAGAAATTTTACGGTTCCGGTTCCAGTAGGGCTGCACGATTATGACAAAAAACATAATTGTCGATTATTCCTTTGAAATTGTAATTGTGATTCTTCATTTACCATTAAATGAATGATGTTTACACCTTTGTCTGAAGCAACTGCATGCCATATTTTTATATGAAAATAAATAAGCTGAAAACACTAACTGAAAAACTTTTATTGCTTTTCTATAGTATTAAGCCTCAAATGTCAACTATACATCGGATTGGTTTCTCTTTAAATAAAAAGGTAAAAATATGCATGGTATTATAATGTTATACTAAAACTAAAATTAAAACAATGAAAAAACCCTTAAGATAACATGTAGAAAGAAAAAAAAAGCATCTTAAGCATGCAGAATAACATAAGTAGACTTTGAACGATTAATTGCTGCTTTGAACGATTATGTAATTGTGGCATCTGTAATTGTAATTGCGATTAGAAATTTGAATAAATTGTGCAGCCCTAGGTTCCGGTTTTGCTTAACGATTCCCGATTCCGGTTCCATTTAAATTAACTTAATATTATTTTTTCACTATTTTACCTTCATCCAGTCCATCACTCACATGTGCTTCAAAGTTGATGTTTTTTACACTATCAATAACATTTTGCTTTTCAAGCATGAATAAGCTGGTTGGCCAAATAGTCCTTTGAGGGCTAAGACACTTGCTCATTTCCCTAAATTAATGAAATATTAACTGTTATACTTCTAACCATGTATACACACTCCATAAAGCCCCTATTTTACAAATAATAATGCAGTCAGGAGATGGTGTGATGCAATGAGTGGTTTCCACATTTTTAAACATTTAAAATGCATGAAAATATATATTTTCCATCACTTTATCACTCTTGAAATGACCTGTACACTAAATAATCTAACCCTCATACTTGCATAACAATAGCAGTCTACTGTATTTATTTAGTGGTCCAAGTTGAAGTCAGTATGTATATTAATGACAATATAACTAAAATTAAAACAATGAAAAAACCCTTAAGATAACATGTAGAAAGAAAAAAAAAGCATCTTAAGCATGCAGAATAACATAAGTAGACTTTGAACGATTAATTGCTGCTTTGAACGATTATGTAATTGTGGCATCTGTAATTGTAATTGCGATTAGAAATTTGAATAAATTGTGCAGCCCTAGGTTCCGGTTTTGCTTAACGATTCCCGATTCCGGTTCCATTTAAATTAACTTAATATTATTTTTTCACTATTTTACCTTCATCCAGTCCATCACTCACATGTGCTTCAAAGTTGATGTTTTTTACACTATCAATAACATTTTGCTTTTCAAGCATGAATAAGCTGGTTGGCCAAATAGTCCTTTGAGGGCTAAGACACTTGCTCATTTCCCTAAATTAATGAAATATTAACTGTTATACTTCTAACCATGTATACACACTCCATAAAGCCCCTATTTTACAAATAATAATGCAGTCAGGAGATGGTGTGATGCAATGAGTGGTTTCCACATTTTTAAATATTTAAAATGCATGAAAATAAATATTTTCCATCACTTTATCACTCTTGAAATGACCTGTACACTAAATAATCTAACCCTCATACTTGCATAACAATAGCAGTCTACTGTATTTATTTAGTGGTCCAAGTTGAAGTCAGTATGTATATTAATGACAATATGGGACAAGTATAAGGTAATTTAGTACATGTACAGTCAGACAAAACAACGTGCACAGTTATCAAAGGCGCGTAGTCGTGGAAAACGATGTGTTCGGCAATTAAAGCAGCGCGTCTGTAGAGTGTGCGTCATGGGAAATGATGTGCTCAGTAATTAATTCAATTCAAGTTTATTTGTATAGCGCTTTTCACGATACAAATCGTTGCAAAGCAACTTTACAGCAAATTAAGTTTCTACAATATTTAGGGGTAGCTTATCAGTGGTAAATGTCAGTTAATGTACATATGGCAGAAATGTACGGAAAAATCAATTAAAGATGTAATCAAACAGACAAACACTATTAACAGCAATTATTATATGATGCAATCAAACGTGTAGCAAAATGTGGTAGTTCTGTATGTTGTTTCAGGGTTGGCATCATCTGAGGTCCTCTGAGGGGTTGGCATCATCTCTTCTCAGGTGTTCTGGATCCAGACTGAAGCTTGTGTAAATCCTAGTTACCACAGGATGTCAATCCCGTGGCAAAAACAGAGCAACAAATAGAGACATAATTAGCATAGCTGCTGTTCCAACCAAGCTAAATTGATTTGTATAATCCAAACTAAAGAATAATAATGTGCCTTTGATCAGATACAACTGCAGTACAAGATTATAAGTGATGTGACCCATACTCGGAATTTACATTTACCCATCCAAAGTGCACACACACAGCAGTGAACACACACAAACCGTGAACACACACCCGGAGCAGTGGGCAGCCATTTATGCTGCGGTGCCCGGGGAGCAGTTGGGGGTTCGGTGCCTTGCTCAAGGGCACCTCTGTCGTGGTATTGAAGGTGTGAGAGCGCTGTACATTCACTCCCCCCACCTACAATCCCTGCCAGCACGAGACTCGAACCCACAACCTTTGGGTTATGAGTCCGACTCTCTAACCATTAGGCCACGACTTCCCCGTGGGCAAGTCGTGAGATGCATTATTTTATTATTTTATTATTACTTTATGAGATGCATTATTTGAATGCTTGGCCAAAGAGATGTCTTTAATCTAAATTTAAACGGAGAGAGTGTGTCTGAACCCTGAACATTATCAGGAAGGCTATTCCAGAGTTTGGGAGCCAAATGTGAAAAGCTCTACCTCCTTTAGTGGACTTTGCTATTCTAGGTACTACCAAAAGTCCAGAGTTTTGCGACCTTAGGGAGCGTGATGGATTGTAGCGTGGTAGAAGACTCGTTAGGTACGCAGGAGCTAACCCATTAAGGGCCTTATAGGCAAGTAATAATATTTTGTAACTGATACGGAACTTGATAGGTAGCCAGTGCAGAGACTGTAAAATTGGGGTAATATGATAATATTTTCTTGACCTGGTAAGGACTCTAGCCGCTGAATTTTGGACTACCTGTATCTTACTGAAGATGCAGGACAACCACCTAGCAGTGCATTACAATAGCCCCATTTAAATGAACAATGTGGTAGCGATCGGACAGGTAGGATCTAAACCATCTTAAAGCCTGCCCTTGGATACCTGTATAGTTTTGTAATCGATCTATCAGTATGTCATGATCTATAGTATCGAATGCAGCACTAAGATCAAGTAAAACTAGCAATGAGATACAGCCTTGGTCTGAAGCAAGTCATTTGTAATTTTAACAAGTGCAGTTTCTGTGCTATGGTGGGGCCTGAAGCCTGACTGAAATTCTTCATAGAGATAATTTTTTTGCAGGAAGGAGCACAAGTGAGCAGACACAACTTTTTCTAAAATTTTAGACATAAAAGGAAGATTTGAGATGGGTCTGTAATTTGCCAGTTCACTAGGATCTAGTTGTGGTTTCTTAATAACCGCCAGCTTGAATGGTTTTGGGACGTGACCTAAAGACAACGACGAGTTAATAATATTGAGAAGCGGTTCTTCTGCTACAGGTAACAACTTTCAGTAATTTAGTGGGTACAGGATCTAACAGGCATGTAGTTGGTTTAGATGCAGTGATAAGTTTATTTAGCTCTTCCTGTCCTATAGTTGTAAAGCACTGCAGTTTATCTTTTGGTGCGATGAATGAAGCTGAAGTATTATATGCTTATATTATATAGAATCTACATTTGTTATTTTATTTCTGATGTTATCTATTTTATCAGTGAAGAAAAGTGCCCATGTTGCTAGTCATTTCGTCTAGTTCATGTGTATTTATGGGTACGCAGAGCAGTTTAGATAAATTAAAAAGGCAGGGTGGTGTTTCTGTTATTTGGTTGGTGACATCCTTTACGGGAAACACTGGCGCAAGGCTGCTCACAGCGCTTGGTCACACGTCCAAAAAAAAGACCGGTTCTCGGTTCCCAACCCTACATTCAAGTACCCCAAAATTTTCTCTTTAATAGATTTGGTCAGTTATTCTTACATACACAGTGAAGGGAAAAAAATGGTTGTAACATTGTGGCAGTGAGCGCAGAAATGTTACTATTGTATCTAGTTATTGCTGTTTTTCTGAGTCAAATTTCCAACAAACTCTTCCTAGCACATACAGTACACAGCTGATACAGTGCAGTGTTGTAATATTTTAGTGGGCCACTTAATTTAACATGTGACTGTACAGATGGGGTAAATATGAAGTTTACAGTCTTGATTTACTGATAATAAATAATAAATAGAATAACAAAGTTCTTCAGCTAGATTTGAATATGTAGCCTGCAGTTGCTCTACACAAAATAATATTTTTAATATCACTAACAATTTTTGAAAATAAGTAATATAGTTCTAGTAATGCCTATAAATAATATTTTACCTTTTTGTCATTGCGGCTCTGGCCTCACTACAGGAATATGTTCGGTTAGTTGGACCCTGGTGCCAGGTGAATGTGGGATCCTATCGTTTTGTTTTGGGTCATTGCTATCTGGCCAGCGGTGAGGGCCAAAAGGTAAGAACATCCAAGTATAACCAGTGGTGTGTCGTCTGTCCTGTGCAGCCTCTGGGGTCCTTCTGTAAGAAAATCTGTACATTTGTATTAACTGTAATAGTATGTCTAGTAGGGCATTTACTCCAGTTTAACCAATTTAATCAACCTATTTTGATGAATACATTTGTAATATTTCATTATAGATTCTTAAATCCCAAGAATCATTCTTTTACTCTATGCTTTTTCAGTTAGTGTGTGAACAAAACACTAAATATTATTTGGAGTTTGCCTCGCATCCAATAAAATCACAATAAGCTTTGTACTTTATTTTTTATGTAAAGCAGAGTGGCAGCTTTCAGTTCTATTTCAGTCAATATTCAAACAATAAAACATAAAAAAAAAAAATTGGTGCTTTGTAATGTGGCGTGAAATTGCTGTAGCTGCCTCAGTTCGAGTGGCATCTCTCCCTCATTACTACTAGTTAAAGCACAAAATAAGCATCTATGAACCTCATAAGGTATGTTGAAAGATACAGTACAACTGAACAAAATGTATTATGTCTCATATAATCAGTACGTGTTTCAAACTCAGAAAGAGATCAATAAAACAGTTTATAAACAATGTTACTCTACTGTTCTCTTTATACGTTTTGCTTTCCAGGCGTGTAATATAAATAAACAGCAACCAAACTCTGTTCAAGAGCCAGGATATGAATGCCTTGCTCCTTTAATAGTCCAATATGTGGTTTAGATTAGAAAATTCAGCAGCCATTGAACCATTGAGTAAAACTGTAAATTAAATGAAAGAAATATGGAAAATTAACAATCAAAATTACATCAAACTTATTAACAGTGTAAGAAGTAAAAAGTGTATATATATATATATATATATATATATATCGCTAACTCAGAAGCAAATTAGTAGCATTATCAATGCAGTGCGCTAGCGCCGATTGGCAATGACATAAACATATTTGATTATATCACGTTTAAACTCAACATACTCTCCTGCAATATATACTAGACAGACTGATGATTCAAATAAACTTACAGCCACTGCTTTCGACAGGGTTTAGAAGGATTAACTCATGAGTCTTTGTTTTGTTTCTTTGAGAGTGCTTAAACTCTCAATAGATCGAAGTTAGTGATGATGTTCTTTGATAATGTGATAATGTTCTTCGCCCTTTTTCTGTATATAATTTTGCTGTTTGAATAACCGTGGAAATGAAAACATTATTAGTAACTTACAATGTTTTGATTAAATTTTGATCACGAATTCAGTCCTATTAAAAATAGCCTACATCAGGGGTGCCCAAACTTTTCAGCCCATGACCCCCAAAATAACAGTGTCAGTACCGGCGGACCCCCACTTTCCTCTGAGGTGGTATACAAGTATACAAACGTTTTGCACCACGGCGCACATGCACTTATAGCATAATGACAACACAAAGGAACACAACAGTCTAACAACAATAATAGAATTTTATAGTAATTTACTCATTACTTACATTTCAACATTAATCTTACCTAATTAGTTGGGTGGGCAACATGCTGGAGTACAAAACTCCATGTTGGAGTTTTATTTTTAATTCAACTTATAATTTTTTATTTATGGGTAAAATATGCTATTTCTAATCCTTAAAAAAATTATTTGATTTCTGGAAATCATCTTGCGACCCCTCCTCGTGGTTTCGCGACCCCCTGGGGGGTCCCGACCCCTACTTTGGGAACCCCTGGCCTACATGACACCCATATCTGGTACTTGCCTAAAAAGACGGGTTTTATGTTTGTAGTTAATAGATTACACCAGGGGCAGTTCTAGGATTTCATTTAAATAAACTTTACAGTGCTTGTGAAAACTGTATTACCGTATTAATTAAATATACACAAATACCCATTAAAGCTACAGAATTTAGAGCAGCGAGTGATCCTCTGTTTTTCTTTTGTTGTTTGATTAAAATTATTGACATAAGAAATGCACAGATCTGTCATATTGACGCACATCCGAAATTTTCTTAACTGTTTAAGTTCACTTAAGATGTAACTGACTGTGGATACGTGGATTGGGGGGTTGGTGGGCCCACCTAAAAAGGATCTAGAACTGCCCCTGAATTACACTAACATTAGGCTACTTAGCCTTACCCTGAAGTTGGTTCACCCTCTGACTATTCTCTCCCAAGTGGTTCAATTGTTGTCAGCATTAAGTCTGATTCAGTGGGCTATGTTACACTTTTAATTGACAAGAAATTAATTTTCCTTAAATGTATTGATTCAATACAGTGTGTATTCACCTGTTGATCAAAAATTGCCTTTTACTTGCATCAGAAAATTATTTTGTAACTTTCATAAGGGTGTACTCATTTTATCACTTCTTATTTTCCTGAATAAATTTAACATCATTATTTGGTAATCAAACAGACTTGCTACTTGCAAACAATTTTAATCTGCCTTCCAAGTAAAGAGTAATTGCTAAATTTAAGTTTCAGAGGGGGTGTACTCATTTATGCTGAGTACTGTAAATGTGAAATTTATTTTCTTAATTTGTCTTGTGAATCATCAAAATTGGTTCGTGAAAGTTGTGAGACCAGGCAAAAAAAAAAGGGGGGGGGGGGGGGGGTCTTAACTGTTTAAGTTCACTTAAGATGTAACTGACTGTGGATACGTGGATTGGGGGGTTGGTGGGCCCACCTAAAAAGGATCTAGAACTGCCCCTGAATTACACTAACATTAGGCTACTTAGCCTTACCCTGAAGTTGGTTCACCCTCTGACTATTCTCTCCCAAGTGGTTCAATTGTTGTCAGCATTAAGTCTGATTCAGTGGGCTATGTTACACTTTTAATTGACAAGAAATTAATTTTCCTTAAATGTATTGATTCAATACAGTGTGTATTCACCTGTTGATCAAAAATTGCCTTTTACTTGCATCAGAAAATTATTTTGTAACTTTCATAAGGGTGTACTCATTTTATCACTTCTTATTTTCCTGAATAAATTTAACATCATTATTTGGTAATCAAACAGACTTGCTACTTGCAAACAATTTTAATCTGCCTTCCAAGTAAAGAGTAATTGCTAAATTTAAGTTTGGAATGAAAATTGTTTCTCTTAGTGGCTATATTCTTGACTCTCCTGGTTAGCTATTTTATTTTTACTTCTGCTAACTGCTATCTGCTAGAATGGAGAAAGACCTTTTTTTTCTTTTAAATTAAGTTTAATAACATTCTGAATAAAGGCGTCAGTGTTAAATTGTACTTCTGAAACTGAAATCATGCAAAAGAAATAGTAGTTTTTTGGCTGGTTCAACTATTGTTCATTCATTCCAGAATGAGCAAAAAGGCCATTTGGCTCTTTAAACTGTAAGGCAGGACTACAGGCACCATGTGATTTTTTTTATTTATTATTAATATATATATTTTTCGTATTTATATATGTGCATTGCAGAAAGAAAAAAAAATTTGTTCCAGAAGCAGAAAATTGCTATCGAATTGTGCCTATTTGCAAATTTTGTTTGCGATGTGTGTTTTGTGGTTTTAGGCATTGCAATGTTTCCAGGAAGCAGCTGCTGAGGTGGATAAAGAAGAGTTTTTAATGAAACTCACAGGTTCAGTCGAAGAGGCAGCCACCACAACTGCCCCACGATTACTTTATTACAACAAGGTATGTGTCTGCTAGATGCACAGACCATGTTAAAATGATGGTTCAGCATCTTAATGGGGATGTAATGATTCTAATTGTTTATTTGTTTAGGTTTTGAGGTTATTGGAGGACATTGGTTTGCCAGAGCTTGTGATTCATTTGGCAACGCTGGCCATATCTGAAGCTGCCAATGATGAGAGAATCCAGGTAATAGCATTGTTTGTTTGTTTTAGTTTTTTTCAGAAAGATTAATTCATTACCGTAATTAAATTGTGTAATCCTGTCATGGTTTTTGCTTTTTTGTCTGATGGAATGTTTGGATTAACCCTAAAATGCATAGCTACCTTTTCCCCTCAGAATGTAAATGTGGGTATAAAAAATTATAAAATTAGATGTGTATTCTTTCTAACACATTTTGTCAATAAAAATAAGTTTTAATGGTGATTTAGTTATGTAAATTGCTGTTAAACGCCATTAAAGAAGAAGAAATAAATGAAACCGCACAGAAATTCTCAACAACAGTGACCAGGAAAACAGGACAAACATTTTTGCCATGCATGGACTAATTAGAAGGATTTTCCTCCTTCAGTCATCACCTTTATATGCTATACACATACCCTAATAACAGTAACTGTATTAACCATTGTAGTTTGGCAGAAATGTGGAATATTTATAACATTTTCATATTTTTTGTCAGCCTCCTATAGATTGAATTAATTCCAAGCCAAAAAACATCTTATCAGTCAAGTTAAAAGAATGATATCTCCGTGATTAGATTGCTGTATAATATAACAAAAATTTGAGCTATCCATATATTGTATATCTCAAACATAATTTTGAGAATATCTATCTCTATTTATTATTAATAAGAAACTGACACTTATATTGCAGGCTGCTCTGTGGACTCGTATATTTAAGCATCATCTGGATCTTGGACACAACAGTCAGGCATATGAGGCCCTGACGCAAAACCCTGATTCTAGCAGGTACTGTGCACTGACATCATTTTCTTAAGGTGATGATACACGGGGCAACTTTTTGAGCAATGCTGCTGGGCAATGTTGCCGTCAACGGGCAACCAGGTGAGAGACAGGGCCCACGACTGATCTAAAGTATCCAGATAAAAATTTGTTGCCCATTCTCAATGGGGAAAGTGTATCATCGCCTTTAGCTACAGTTTAAAACGAAATACTTGAGCTCTCTGTGTTCTCTGTGTCTGCAGGCAGCTGGACTGTCTCCGACAGCTGGTGGTGGTTCTGTGCGAGCGTGCCCAACTCAGGGATCTCGTCCAGTTCTCATTTGTTAATTTACATGATGAGGTATGTCAGAATAGTCACTCATACATGTACCTTACAGGCATTTAGCGATAGATGCTATTAATACTAAGTGCTTGAAAACGAAAAAATAAATAAATCCAATCGGTACACTCCGAGCAGAATCGATATTTTAACGTTTCTGTTCCTGCGTTCCTCTGTATTATTACCGTTGCAAAACTGGTTTGCCTAGAAAAAATACCGGTTAATAACGTTCTTTTTCTAACTTTTTCTTTGCCTATAATAATAATAATAATAATAATAATAATAATAATAATAATAACAATAATAATAATAATAATAGCCTAATAATAATTATAAAGTACAGCGTTTTCTACTCAAAGAAAAAAAACAAAAACAGGAAGAGATCTGGTAGCCTTATCTTAACCCGCAGCGCTTAGTCACCGCAAATACAGCATCATATTTTCTAGATTTTGGCCAAATTATAGGCTACCAAACAAAAGAAAAAAATCTGTTAACACTTTAAAGACATTAAAGTACTTTTAAGATATTATAAAATGTTTGCTGCATTGTTAAAAAAAAATGCTACTCGTATAAAATTGCGTTTTGAGGGGGGAAAAAAACGTAGGCCATGTCGCGTAGGCTCACGTCGCATTTTATTATTAGGCTACATTCAGAAATAATGTTAAAATGCTGGTAAAACATTTTAAACACTATATATGTATATATACGTATACATTGACTATCTATGATAAACAGTTATTAGTTTCTCTCCACAACAAATCCTCTAAAGTTAAGGCTATGCGTTTAGGCTATAAAAACGTAAATCCAAAAACAAATTAATTTAAGGTGAAACTGATGCCTATGCTAAAATATTATTTATTATGTAAAAGGCTTTGTACTTCACTCACATCGACATCATCCTTCACATCGGCTATATCAGCACAGTGAGGCGGTGGTCACGCTGAACGCAACAGATTGTACAACGGAGCAGTGCGACTTTTTATGTTTCTTTAACTGTATTTTATTTTGATAATGAACAGGCTGCAATGTCGCAAAATATGTTGTGTCTTTGTGTGCGTGAGGCGTTGGCACGATATGGTCATACCAACGCTGGTTGGTTATACAGATAGAAGCAAAACATCAATCAAAACTCAAGATTTGCTAAATAAATAAAACTATAAAGCTTTTGCAAAATAAAGAAAACTATTTTCTGCTGTCTCATTTTCCTTTCCATGAACTTTGGATCACATCACAGATCACGTTTTGTTGATCTGTCAATGATTTAAGTGAAATGCGTTTTGTGTATAGGCAAATATAGGCTATTCCTTTTTATGTAAGCCTTTAGTTTTATTCTGCTTTCTCTGTTCACAAGCGCTGCAGGTGCGCATGATATGTTGAATCCATCTTACACTGTACACAGTTTAATCAGGAGGGTATCTGGGATGATGGTGTTGAAACCGGAGCTGAAGTCCACAAACAGGATCCTTGCATAAGTCCCTGGTTTGTCCAGATGTTGAAGGATGTAATGCAGTCCCATGTTGACTGCATCATCCACAGAACTGTTTGATCGGTAAGCAAAACCGGGTAGGCAGCCTTCATTCAATGGCAGTCCTCCAGGTCTTTCAGGCCAAACTCCTCCGCTGCATGGACGAGTCTGGACCAAAAAAAATCCACCGCTTTCAAAGAGCTGCACAGCGTGACCGACCTGGCTCTACGCGCCACAAAGACCACGGCTCAGGTGATCGGCAGGTTGATGACCAGCTTAGTGGTGCTCGAGCACCACTTGTGGTTGACCCTGATGGAGATCAAGGATGCGGATAAAATCCCTTTCTTTGACTCCCAGGTCTGCCCCACTGGACCTGCTGTTGAAGGCTTCGCTGAACGCTTCACTACTGCACAGAAGTCGTCCAAGGCACTTCCTGCCCAAGCATTCCAGCTCTGCAGCTGCTCCTGGTTGCCCCAAGTCTGCGCTGACTCAGCAGCCTGCAAATCCTGCGCACTCTGCACCCAAGCCTGACCCCCGACAGCGCTTCCACTCGGCAGAGTGCTACCCATTTCCTAAGTGAAATGTGCCTCAGGCGTCGTCTTGATTTAAAGTACAGGAAGAGAAAGGGGCAAAGTCTCGCTGCAGCCGGACCACCCCTCAAGCAGCCTCGAGTATTCCTCCAAGCACCCCGTTCAGTTCCGAGTGCAGAGGTCAACGTGTCTGTTGTAAACATGGGGCCTACTCTTGTGCCCATACAACAAGCCGCTGTGATGGCGGGCAAAATAAAACACGAACATACTCAAAAAGAAATTCCTCTTCCATGTATCACGAGAACCAAGTCCCCGCACGGTGACTTGACACTTGAGTCAATCCAACCCCTTGCCACACAGGCCAAGGCCTGGCAGGCCATCCCCGGAGTGTCAGATTGGGTTTTGGGGACAATAAGATGCCGAGGTGATGAATTTGCTGGCAAAAGGAGCCGTGAAGACGGTTCCCCCAGCTCAGAGCGAGTTAGGCTTCTACAGCCGTTACTTCCTGGTCCTCAAAAAGGATGGCTGCCTACGGCCCATCCTCGACCTCAGGCACCTGAACCTCTGAGACAGATGGAAATTCGCATTCTGAATTACCTCGACGACTGGCTGGTCTTAGCCCAGTCGGAGGCTGAGCTTCTATCCCACAAATCCCTCCTCCTCAGCCACTTAAAATGCCTGGGACTCAGGGTCAACTTTGCCAGAAGCTCACTGTCCCCCAGCCAATGGATCTCCTTCCTGGGAGCAGTTTTCGACTTGACCCAAATGAGGGTGGATGTCGCGCCAGAACATGCGCTGGCCATGCAACAGCTTATGGCCTCATTCAAAATTGGAGCCTCTCGCCCTCTCAGGTTGTTTCAGAAGATGCAGGAGTCCCCCCTTCGAGCCGCACGCTGGTTGGTTATACAGATAGAAGCAAAACATCAATCAAAACTCAAGATTTGCTAAATAAATAAAACTATAAAGCTTTTGCAAAATAAAGAAAACTATTTTCTGCTGTCTCATTTTCCTTTCCATGAACTTTGGATCACATCACAGATCACGTTTTGTTGATCTGTCAATGATTTAAGTGAAATGCGTTTTGTGTATAGGCAAATATAGGCTATTCCTTTTTATGTAAGCCTTTAGTTTTATTCTGCTTTCTCTGTTCACAAGCGCTGCAGGTGCGCATGATATGTTGAATCCATCTTACACTGTACACAGTTTAATCAGGAGGGTATCTGGGATGATGGTGTTGAAACCGGAGCTGAAGTCCACAAATAGGATCCTTGCATAAGTCCCTGGTTTGTCCAGATGTTGAAGGATGTAATGCAGTCCCATGTTGACTGCATCATCCACAGAACTGTTTGATCGGTAAGCAAAACCGGGTAGGCAGCCTTCATTCAATGGCAGTCCTCCAGGTCTTTCAGGCCAAACTCCTCCGCTGCATGGACGAGTCTGGACCAAAAAAAATCCACCGCTTTCAAAGAGCTGCACAGCGTGACCGACCTGGCTCTACGCGCCACAAAGACCACGGCTCAGGTGATCGGCAGGTTGATGACCAGCTTAGTGGTGCTCGAGCACCACTTGTGGTTGACCCTGATGGAGATCAAGGATGCGGATAAAATCCCTTTCTTTGACTCCCAGGTCTGCCCCACTGGACCTGCTGTTGAAGGCTTCGCTGAACGCTTCACTACTGCACAGAAGTCGTCCAAGGCACTTCCTGCCCAAGCATTCCAGCTCTGCAGCTGCTCCTGGTTGCCCCAAGTCTGCGCTGACTCAGCAGCCTGCAAATCCTGCGCACTCTGCACCCAAGCCTGACCCCCGACAGCGCTTCCACTCGGCAGAGTGCTACCCATTTCCTAAGTGAAATGTGCCTCAGGCGTCGTCTTGATTTAAAGTACAGGAAGAGAAAGGGGCAAAGTCTCGCTGCAGCCGGACCACCCCTCAAGCAGCCTCGAGTATTCCTCCAAGCACCCCGTTCAGTTCCGAGTGCAGAGGTCAACGTGTCTGTTGTAAACATGGGGCCTACTCTTGTGCCCATACAACAAGCCGCTGTGATGGCGGGCAAAATAAAACACGAACATACTCAAAAAGAAATTCCTCTTCCATGTATCACGAGAACCAAGTCCCCGCACGGTGACTTGACACTTGAGTCAATCCAACCCCTTGCCACACAGGCCAAGGCCTGGCAGGCCATCCCCGGAGTGTCAGATTGGGTTTTGGGGACAATAAGATGCCGAGGTGATGAATTTGCTGGCAAAAGGAGCCGTGAAGACGGTTCCCCCAGCTCAGAGCGAGTTAGGCTTCTACAGCCGTTACTTCCTGGTCCTCAAAAAGGATGGCTGCCTACGGCCCATCCTCGACCTCAGGCACCTGAACCTCTGAGACAGATGGAAATTCGCATTCTGAATTACCTCGACGACTGGCTGGTCTTAGCCCAGTCGGAGGCTGAGCTTCTATCCCACAAATCCCTCCTCCTCAGCCACTTAAAATGCCTGGGACTCAGGGTCAACTTTGCCAGAAGCTCACTGTCCCCCAGCCAATGGATCTCCTTCCTGGGAGCAGTTTTCGACTTGACCCAAATGAGGGTGGATGTCGCGCCAGAACATGCGCTGGCCATGCAACAGCTTATGGCCTCATTCAAAATTGGAGCCTCTCGCCCTCTCAGGTTGTTTCAGAAGATGCAGGAGTCCCCCCTTCGAGCCGCTACAATCAACTGACTTCCGGCCCCTGTCGCTGAAGACCGACCTGTTGCTAGCCTTAGCATCGGTCAAGCGAGTAGGAGACTTGCAATCGCTCTCTGTGAGCCCCACCTGCCTTGAGTTCGGGCCCAACGACTCCAAGGTCGTCCTGAAGCCAAGGCATGGGTTTATACCTAAGGTGTTCTCCACCCCGTTTAGAGAACAGGTTATTACTCTATTGGCGCTTCCTTCCTCGGAGGATGACTAAGAGTTGAACTTTTACTATCCTGTCAGGGCTCTGAGGATTTACATTGAGCGTTTCGCCCCATTTAGGCAGTTGGAACAACTCTTTGTAGGCTTCGGTGGCCGCACCAAGGGGCTTCCGGTCATGAAGCAGAGACTGTCCAGATGGTTAGTAGACGCTATTACGCTAGCATACTCCTACAGCATACTTGTAGCATACTACAATAATGTAGTACTTTCTTGTACTCAAGTAAATCTTTGAATTCCTTTTACTTGAGTAAAAGTAAGAAAGTAATAGATTTCTAATGTAATTAAGTATTAAATTATATTTAATATGAAACGTAGTGCAGTAAAAAGTACAATATTATGCTTTGGAATGTTGTGAAGTAATTTTTCTAAAGAAAAACACTCTGATAAAGTACAGACACCTGAAAAGTACTTTTACAGCAGAGTAAAAATACTTCACTACTGTCCGCCTCTGCTAGAGGCATAGCCTCGTCCTGGGTTTGGTCTAGCGGCCTGCTGGGCCTCGCCGTCCACCTTTGCCAGGTTCTATAATCTGGATGTCCCGGCATTACAAACCCGGGTCCTTTCTGCACAGCGGGCATACACCTGCCAAGGGCAGAACCAGTTCTTAGGCTTTGCCTTATTCCTGTATGCTCTTGGCCCTTCCTGAGTGCTGAGGCTGTATAGAGTCTTCCCTGGAACGATTACTCAAGGCCGGGCTGACCTCGATGAGTTTGGCCCTCTTGCCTCCTGCAGAGTTTGCCCTGCTAAATACTTGGACCCTCTAAGCCCCCTTGGGTGCTTAAGGCAAGTTAATATTGGTCGTTCTTCTAGCATAGCACGGCTGGATTGTACTGGTTCCCCATAGCGTCTTAGCGAAGCAGTATGAGTGAAGGGGAATGATTACTGCGTAACTAGCCATGCTATGTAGCTGCACAACTCAGTGTCGTCGTTTCAGTCAAAGTTACCTGAGGATCCCATGGCAAAATGCCCATTTATATAGCCAGATGACCCTGCCCATTGTGGCGGGCTCTGGCGGGCTTCGTTGCCATAGGCCACTGCCAAGCCATTGGTTCGTTTTTAAGTACACTGCACAAACCAATGGCCTTGTAGTTACACTGCATTATTAAAAAGAAGGCTTCAGTTATCGGAGAAAAAGGATTTTTCCCCATAGCGACGCAGTACTTGTTCCTGTATCTCAGGGAACCGAGGTTACGTTAGTAACCGAGTTACATTCCAGTTGACCTAATTAATGCAGCCTAACAATCCTTTAACTGATTTGAATTATAGAAATGTGATAGTCTTATGTGTAAGCCAGGTTATAGAGATGGGAAGGACTATAATGCGATAAGAGCTTGCTGAAGTACTGAAGGAGCTAAACTTTAAAATTAATTAACAAGATTTAAAAATGTGTACAATGTTAAATAGGGAGCCAGTGCAGAGTTGACAGAACCAGGCTAATATGTCATGCTTTCTGGTTCTAGTACGAACTCAGCTGGAGTTGGTTTAAGTGTGCAGAGCAACCACCCAATAAAGCATTACAATAATCTAACCTTGAGGTCATGAACACATGAATTAACATTTCTGCATTTGACATTGAGGGCATAGGTCGTAATTTAGATATATTTTTAAGATGGAAAAATGCAGTTTTACAAATGCTAGAAACATGGCTTTCAAATGATAGATTGCTATCAAACAGCACACCTAGGTTCCTAACTGATAATGAAGAATTGATAGAGCAGCCATCAAGTGTTTAGACAGTGTTCTTGGTTATTACATGCGGAGGTTTTTGGTATTAACACCTGTTTTTTTTTTCTTCAGAATTTAGCAGTAGGAAATTACTAGTTGTCCAGTTTTTTATATCAACTATGCATTCCGTTAGTTTTGCAAATCGGTATGCTTTGTCGGGCCGCGACGAAATATAGAACTGAGTATCATTAGCATAACAGTGAAATTTAACACCATGTTTCCTGATGATATCTCCCAAGGGTAACATGTAAAGCGTGAAAAGTAACGGTCCTAGTACTAAACCTTGTGGTACTCCATACTGCATTTGTGATCAATACCTCAACATTCACTGCTACAAATTGATGACGGTCAGATAAGTATGATTTGAACCATGCCAATGCAATTCCACTAATGGCAGCATCATTTTCTAGTCCATTGAAAAGAATGTTGTGGTCAATAGTGTCGAACGCAGCGCTAAGATCCAGTAGCACTAATAGAGAAATGCAACCATGATCGGATGATAAGAGCAGGTAATTTGAAACTCTGATGAGAGCAGTCTCAGTACTATGATACAGTCTAAATCCTGACTGGAAATTCTCACAGATAAAATTTTTCTCTAAGAAATATAGTTGTGAGGATACTGCCTTCGAGATCAGTCTGTAAATAGTAGATGCTGCTTTGAAAAATGCAACTTTCAATATGGCCGCTTTATCGAAGGATGCCCCATTTTCTGAATAAAAGAGCTAATCGGTAAGGTCAGTGCATCACTGCAGCTGCCGTTAGAGGTCCCTGTTGCTATAAAAACAGTCAGCGTTCTGAGACATGCGCTTAGTACTGTGTATGCACACTGGCTGGTCTAGCCTGAAAAATAATCTTTTTTAAAGCTATTGGAGCAAAAGAAACAACATTTATGAGACCGTTGTTGTCAGATTTCATTGGTGATTTCAAATGTGAAATTTAATTGTAAGCTTATTGAACAGTTTTGGAAAATTTGATGTTTCCCCATTCAAAGAGATAGGAGCTGCACGTGCATGCCCGAGAGGCGTTTCAAAGATGGCCGCCAAGTGAAATGACTTGCCTTAAAGGGACTTTGTTTATACTTGGTGCAAAAAATTGATTTCAAACTCTGGTCCATTGCGTCCAAAGATGCTACTATGCTTTTACGCCCTACACCACTGAGCCTTTTGTACTACGCACATCTTTTGTAATGTTGTCTACGCCAACCAGACATTGGTGGGCGGAGCTAGTGTAATTAGCACCTATTTAGTGTAAATAGACACACTGATTTATTATTCTTTCAGCCTTATCAAGTAAGTTGTTGAAACATACTTTTATGGATTTAGTCATTTAATTTACCAAAGTTTTTGCCTTTGACCTTTGATGTAAACATTAAAATAACAAATTACATCAAATTTTTTTTCTCTTTTTATTCTTGAAATGATTGTTACAACGAAGATTGTACACTATCTCGCGAATGCGCCGGTGGATCTCCTCCAAATTCGGGGATCCCTTCAGCTCGAGGAGCCCTCTCGAACGCCACTCTCTGCGCGTCGGTAGCCCCCCGGGATCGCTAGATCGGTCCACCCTTAACTTCCGAACCCCGGGGGCTATCCACGCGGGGGTAGTCTCATTCGAAAGAGGGCCTCGAGATGTACACTCGATTCGCGTTCGGCGACAGGCTCATATCGGCCGATAATATCGGCAAAACGATGTATCGGTCGGGCTCTAATTATTATGTAAAGTTGGTAAATTGATAATTATTAGCTTCCCTCAGCTGCCACTGCTTAAACGTGCTTGAATTCTACTTCTTGAATTTATACTGCACTTTTCACAAGGCATTCTTACAGTTTCGACAAAATTTATAGCCAGCTACATAACCTTACCTTTATGACGTATTTAAATTCTGCAAATTCACAATAACTTTCAGTTTAAGTTTAATACATCCTTATCAAATATCTCCAGAACGTCACTGTCCCTAGACCATTCTTATTGTCGAGCCCTGTCTTCAATTCTTTCTTGTATTTTTAGCAAGCTATTGTGTTGTTTTGTGCTTTGTGTTCTTCAGGTGGTCAGCATTATTGAGTCTCGTGCAAGAGCTGTGGACCTCATGACTCACAACTACTATGAGCTTCTGTATGCTTTTCATATCAACCGTCACAACTATAGGAAAGGTAAAACTGATGGTCAGCGTTACAGTGACGTTTCAAGTTTTTTGGGGGAAAGGATTAAATATTAAGTAAAAATAAATCCTCCTGCAGCTTTATTTATTATTGTTTTATTTTTCAAATGAGCAATAAAAGTAATTGTTTTATTCTGGCAGGATTTGGCCATTAAGCCAACAGTAAATTGTTTGTGTGTTTAAGCCGGTACAGTGATGTTTGAGTACGGTATGCGTCTGGGCCGTGAGGTGCGAACTCTGCGTGGTCTCCAGAAGCAGGTGAACTGTTATCTAGCTGCCCTCAGCTGCCTGCGTCTCGTTCATCCGGACTACGCATGGATTGTGCAGCCCTCGTCTGGAGCAGCGGTAAGCATCTGAAACATTTGTAATTGCTTGGATGGAGTGCTCAGTCAGCAGTTAGCTCAGTAAGAATGAAAGTAAATACATGTAGACCTACTTTTGAATATTAGGGGTGTAACAGTATATGTATTTGTCCCGAACCATCACAGTACTAATGTCATGGTTCGGTTCATGCAGTCAGATGACAAATACAGTCAGTCATAGGCGATCAATCCATAAGGGGGGCGCGCACGGTAATGCACCGCTAACGGTCACAACAGGAAAGAGCAGAAGAGACGATCTATGCACCAACCCAAAGCAAGAACGGTGAGTTCAGATAGCGCGCAAGGGCTCGAAGAACCGCCTGCTTGTTTTAAATCAGCAGTGTGGGAAAGTTTCAGGTTCTAGAGATGCACTGGTTGTCCAGCTATAAATCGGAATCAGTTGTTAGTTTGGTAACACTTTCTATGAAGCCTGTATTTATAATACATTATAAGGGTATTCTTAAGGCATTATAATGAACGCCATAAGATCAGATCAGATGAATGTGTAATATGACACATTTGCTTTGAACTATTTTTATTGTAATATCAGTTTGATTATTTTGATGGTACCCTTTAAGCAGCTGTTGATAAGTGACTCTGCAACTACATATCAACTAGTGGTCATTAGAGTATTAGTATGTCTGCTACTGTAAATATTTGCTAACACTTTATTTTGATGGTCAACCAACAGATAAACTGACTATAAGTGTCTTTGCAAGTACGTCAACTTATTCTACCATACTAGATTAAACCATTCTTGAGCATACTAATACTCTAATGAGAGTTAGTTGGCATGTAGTTGCAAAGTTGCTTAAAGTCGATTGATTAAGGGGACCATCAAAATAAAATAACCATATGAAACATTTTTTTCAGTTGGAGTATAAAGCTCACATCAATTAATTAACATTAGCTCCACAGGAAACATTCATAACACTTAACATCTAACCACTCACAAGCTGTAGTAAGATACTGTGCAGATCTTAAATAAACAATGTCAAGATATGATACAGTCCATTATTCTGTAAATGAAGTAGATTTAATATGGTGTTCATAGCGTGTTATAAATAATCATACTCTTAAACTTATAACCACAGATACGTAAGTATTATGATGTATTATAACTGTTGTTATGATTATTCATGAGTTGATATAACATAGTATACGTTTTTTTTATAATGCATTATGCATTCATTATAATGTCTTAAGAATACACTTATAATGTATTATAAATACGGGCTTCATAGAAAGTGTTACCATTAGTTTTATTTTGGCCGATATCTATTCCAGAATTGCACACTCACTGCATTGCAATCATTTCCCAAAATGTAATTTGTGTGGAATTTTTATGAAGTCTGAAAGAGGAGAAAATACTGTACCAGGCAGATCAAACTCCCTGTTCGCGATGTTCAAAATATATTATAAGAGAAATATGTGGGGGTTTATATGGATCTCTGAGAGGAACTGACCGTCTTCAGAAATGTTTCGATGGCATTTTCTTTTCCGCTTGCCTCCATATAATGCATATTAAAGTAGTGTTTATAAGCGCAGCTGCTTTGTTTACAGCAGTAACCAAGGAAATACTATATGCTGCTTTTCCGCCACATGCTGTCAGAGAGTGAATTTGCATTTTCATTCAGTCCTCCTGCTGTTTTTGTTTTGTGCAGGTGTCAAAAACAACTGCTCATGCTACATGTAGCATTACTGTCTGTTCAAAATAAATAAATAAATAAATTTCCTGTTTTACCGTACTCGTATTTAACCGTGACCCCAAAACCCAGGTACATGACTTCTGTATACCGTTGCACCCCTAATGAATATGTACATACATGAGTTTTAGGACACTTTAGGTCACACATAAAGATGTCTGAATTTCATTACATTGGATACAAAACATCAAAAGTAAAACCAAGTGGCATCTGTAAAACAAATAATGCTAGAGCTTTTCTCAGAACTAGCATTACAGAGAAATGTCCTGTCAGAATAGCTTAGACTTATAAACGCAGTGCAGAAGGCATGTGGCTGTAAAATTAAGGGTGTTTTCAAAAAAAATGCCATGAATAGATTTTAGAACGTCTTTAACCTAACTTTAATAAGTACGTTGTATGAGTTTTGTGCACAAGTTTTGTGAAGCATCTAATGTGCCTAAGACTTGCACAGTACTCTGTGTGTATACATCTATAACCTCATTTTGTAACATATATTATAATGTTTTTTTTATATATCATGACTTGACTTTTGACTAGTACGAACGACCAGGCACATCACCAAAAAGGAACTATGATGGCGAATTTGCTGCAAATCCAGGTAATTCCTCCCCAAATCACCCTGTAAAATTGTGTGGACTACTCTGTTGTCCCCACCTTTAAAACTTAAACATGATTACATTTTGTATGCTAGTACTCATATTTTCATTCAGAACTCAGTATTTTCATTGACAGGTGAAGATCAACACTCGTCTATTAAACATTTTTCTACGTGTCCTCCCACTTGTCTTGATACAAGCACAATCATTGAAGATGATTCAAATTTAATATGGTTTATACCTTTAGCTATTATGTTGTTTGCTTGCTGCATGCAAAACATATAGCATGACCACTGTATTGTAGTCCATGAATCTGGTTCTTTCTCAGATTGAATCAGTCTAATGAATAAATAACTGAATCAGCCAGCGCAGATGCTGAATGAATATCTGGTTTCTTACTGTGTACTTGATTCTCTATGGACCACATTATGAATTAAGGTATCAAAATATTGTATGTTTTACAGTTTTCATTCAAATACTGTATGTATATTTTTAAAACTATTGGCCTAATAATCTGATAATCAGTGCGTTTTTGATATAGTAATATCAGCAAAATCTGGTGTTGTTTTTTAAATGCTACACATTTTAAAGTTGTTTGTCATGTGATCACAGTAAGTCAACAGATCGACATTCTTGAGCTGAAAGACTTGGAGAAAGAGTATGTTCTTGCTCGGAGTCGGCTGACATTGGCTCAGCAGGACCCCCCCTCAGCCGCCATTGCAGGTATGGTGGTTTACATGCTTCCTTTTGGAAGACGCTTTTAAATTATTGTTCAATTATGTTGCCTTTATTAATATCAATAGAGCTGTGCAATTAATCGAAATAACGTTTAAATTTCGACCTCCAACTATTATGAAAATCCAATTATCAAGATAAAATGATTATTGTGCCCCATTCTGCCCACTTTCCAGTGGTGTGCTTTCGCTCCTCCATAAAAGCCCAAACTTTGCATGCAAATCAGTAAAATCATGTAACGTGACTTTCGCAAAATGGGACGTGCTTGATTTATTAAAGTTTATTTGATTTATTTGTGTTTTTAAAAGCATGAAAGAACTTGCACTGTTCCTCAGGAGGTTTTCTGTGCATGCGCAACGACACGGAACAACACGGACGTGTAAAGTCAACTTTTAGTTTAAGTTGCGTGCCTAAATGGTCAAATACACGTATGTGTATTGTGTCAAAGTGCGGCGCTTGATTATTATTCATGGAAACCCTTGTTGGTTATGCCTTAAGTGAACATAAACATTTGAGAATTTAAATATTTGTGTAACAGTATATTGGATCCTTGCGGCTCTTAAAGTGACAGCAGGCTAATGTTCCTGCTGCCAACTGTGTGCTTAATATTAATCAAACAACAAAAGACAGAGAAAATCACTCACTGCTCATGACTTTTGTAGCTTTGATAAGAAACAAAGGAAGTTTAATTCTTTCAGTGAAGACTACACTGTTTTATTTTACATTCGATTATTCAATTTCTGTACTAGGCAGTTAGCTGAATACTTTAGACTTGCATAAAAAAACGTAAAGCACTGATTGTTTCATTTTTTTATCTTTTTTTTTATATATATATGTTGTATTTGTATAAAAAAAATATTATTTTTTTAACTTGTATGAGTTACCCTAGTATTCTGCTGTGGTGTTGAGAATTGTTAAATTTCACTGGTATCTAAAATGTAGATGTCATAACCTTATTTACAAAAAATATATATTTGATATATAGCGCTATCTTTAAATAAATCACTCATATAAAGTTTTGGTTATGTGGCCCACTCAAAATCTTGATTACAATATTGACCAAAATAATCGTAATTATAATTTTTGCCATAATAGAGCAGCCCTAATATTTACATTTACATTTGAGCGACTTACAAATGGGGACAATAAAAGCAGTCAAAACTAACAAAAGAGCAACAATATATAAGTGCAAATGACAAATCTCGGTTAGCCTAACGCAGTACACGCAGCAAGGTGTATATATGTATGTGTGTGTGTGTGTGTATATATATATATATATATACACACACACACACACACACACACACACACACACACACACACACACACACACACACACACACACACAAAAAAACAAAAAATGATTGATGATTTGTTTTCTTTTTAAGAATGACAGTACGCTGAGAACAATGTACCTGGTCGGTAATTCCACCTTCCCAGCCTCAGCAGTTTCAGATGTACTGTATGCTCTCATATAAGCAACCCTTCTTACAATTTAATCTTTGTTCTTATCTGTAATGAGAAATATATATTAGAAAATAAAGGCGATATGGTTGTCAAGCTTGAACAAATACACACACACACACACACACACAAACAAAGAAAAACAAGTAGCTAGAATAGAAAAAATTGAAAGCTAGTGTTTGTTTTTTGTTGTTGTTTTTTAAATAAAATAAAAAAAGACAAATATAGATAAAGTAGAATTAAAATCGAATAGAAAGTGTTAGCGTTAGTGGGTCAAATAAAGGTGGAACAGATGTGTTTTAGTCGTTTCTTGAAGATGGTTAAGAACTCTTTAAAGATTAATCTTGGAGCGGCATTTTGGATTAATTGTAGAGGTTTGATAGAAGTGGCTGGAAGACCTGCCAAGAGAGCATTGCAATAGTCCAGCCTGGACAGAACAAGAGCTTGAACAAGGAGTTGTGTTGCATGTTCTGAAAGAAAGGGCCTGATCTTCCTAATGTTGTATAAAGCAAATCTGCAGGACCGGGCCGTTTTAGCAATGTGGTCTGAGAAATTCAGCTTATCATCAATCACAACTCCAAGGTTTCTAGCTGTTTTTGAAGGAGGTTGATTAGCCTAACTGGATAGTGAAATTTTGATAAAGTGATGGGTTTGTTGAAACCACAAGCAGTTCTGTCTTAGCCAGGTTGAGTTGAGTTGAAGTTGATGGTCTGTCATCCAACAAGAAATGTCTGTTAGACATGCTGAGATGCGAGCAGCTATCGTCGGATCATCAGGATGGAATGAGAGGTAGAGTTGAATGTCATCAGCTTAGCAGTGATATGAAAAGCCATGTTTCTGAATGACAGAACCTAGTGATGCCATGTAGACAGAGAAGAGAAGTGGTCCAAGTGAGAGCAGCACATCTAATTCTTCCACGAAGTTACCTAGTGGTCCTGGGGGTCGATAAACAACTATAAAATGGATTTTAAGAGGGTGGGTAATAGTGGCTGAATGTTATTCAAATGAGCTGTTGATACTCAGAGATGGTAAAGGATTCAATTTCCAATCATTAGGGATGAGCAGACCAGTACCTCCACCTCTTCCAGTCAGACGGGGGGAGTGGGGAAAAAGATCAATTATTTGAGAGTGCTGCAGGTGTAGCATTGTCCTCTGGTTTGATCCACGTCTCTGTCAGGGCCATGAGGTTTAGTCTTGAATGACTTGTAATAGAAGTAATAAAATCTGCTTTGTTTACAGCAGACTGGCAATTCCAGAGACCAATAGAAAAATAAACTAGTGTATTAGTAGACATAGGCAAAGTGCGCAGGTTGTTAGGATTGCGCTGCCTACAGTGTGTGATGCATGGTTTGCGAGTGGTAGTGATAGTAGGGATCTGGAAACACATAGTAAGAATTGGTTATAAAAACTGAAAACAGAAGGGGAACAAGTAGTAGGAAAGAGAATGATTCAGAAGCGATACTCATGTGCCTTGCCGGTGTCCCTGCTCGGTGGAGTCGATCGGTAGAGTCAATGATCTTTACACTCTTCGGTCTTCACACTAGGAGAGCTTCACACGAGGGCTGCCGTGGTATACTAAGCTTTTTATATTCGTCTAACAAAACTAATTGAATTCAGCTGGACACACTTTACTGTTTATCACAACAAATGGCCAAGCAAAGCGCACAACACTGACAAGGTACTCGATACAGTACGAGACCAAACGCAACAGTACATCTCCACAGTAAACAAAACAAGTGTTTCCTAGCAACGACAACTGTGCTAAACACTGAGACAAGAAATAAATACACTTACAAGCTGCTTTTAACTTCTGCTGATTGACTGCTTCTCACAGAGTATTTCTTTACAATGTTTTGCTGGCGCTTGAACACACTTTCCTGTTTATCACAACAAATGGCCAAGCAAAGCACACGACACTGACAAGGTACGCGATACAGTACGAGACCAAATGCGATTTCAGCACGTCTCATAATATAATATGACTTATATTCTGCAATATTTATAGCTGAGTTTTTCTAATGCATTCCTTTTTTAGCAGTTAACTTTTCTTGAGCAATGAACACAAGCTCAAAACTACATCCAGGCTCTACGGTGTGACCATATCAGTCACATTTTAGTTTGAGGTGCTGCGTTTTTCCAGCAGCTCATGATCCTGTGCTGTCAGTGTCTCGGGAGTGACTTGGTTCATAGTAAATGCTACTCCTCACAAACTCCATCTCTGTCGGCAAGCAGTGTGATTTTGAGTCAGTTATAACATGCATTTGAAAATGCAACTCATTTTCAAATTATGTATGTATTTACAGCTGTCAAATGTTTTGACAAAGAATTATTCAAAATGTATAATTTAATTTACAATCTGCAAAAGAGTGGAAAAATATTTTCACATACTCCATGTAATTGTCAAAGAAATTTACATAAACAGAAAATCTTTTAGGCATTCAGGGTACCGTTTTGAATTGGTTTCTAGTCTTTTTTAACTAATAGGATCTTCTCTGTCTGTATTGGAAAACACACTTCCTCAACCGCACATCTTTTTTGTGGTGTTCCGCAGGGATCTATTCTGGCACCAACACTGTTCTCCTTATAATTGCTGCCATTGGGTTCCATCTTTTCTAAATATGGAGTATCGTTCAACCTATACGCTAATGACACCCAATTATACCTTCCTTTTAAACATAATGATTCAAGTTCCATAGAGGTTCTGCTAGCTCGTTTACATGAAGTGAAAATTTGGCTTGTACACAATTTTTTAGCCTTAAATGAGAATAAAACCGAAGTTATACTGTTTGGTCCTAGTGATTTCTATGAGTTTGGTGATCTGGACCTTGGCAACTTAAGCTCTCATGCTACTCCATGTGCGAAAAATCTAGGTGTGTTCTTTGATTCAGGTCTTAAGTTGGATAAATTATGTTGTCAAATCCTGCTTTTATCATTTACGACGTCTCGCAAAAGTCAAACCTGTTCTTTCTTTAAAGAACTTTGAAAAAGTTATCCATGTATTTATTACTTCACGACTTGATTACTGCAATTCACTCTTATTATGGTGCAAATCAATCATCTATCGGGCGTCCTCAAATGGTACAAAATGCTGCTGACTGGCAGTTTTGATTGTATTTCTCCCATCTTCTCTGCATTGGCTACCAGTCAAACTGAGAATAAAATTTAAAATTCTAGTTTTTGTTTTTAAAGCATTACACGGCCTAGCACCAACGTATCTTTCTGACATTTTACATTATCACAATCCCTCTAGGTCACTTAGATCAGACAGCATTGGATTGCTCTCTGTTTGTAGATCGAGGTTAAAACATCGTGGAGACCGAGCTTTTGCAACAGTAGGCCTTAAACTCTGGAATAGCATAGGTATCGATCCGAATGGTGTCATCACTTTCCTCTTTCAAATCAAAACTTATAACACATTTTCTTAATGTGGGTTTCTAATTTATTATTTTAATGTTTTTGTTTGTTGTTTGAAAGATTATAATTTGTATTTTATTTGACAACTGTACAGCACTTTGGTCAACCCTGTTTTTTTTTTTTTATGTGCTTTATAAATAAATAATGAATGAATGAATAAACGAATGAATGAATAAAAGTTTATAAGCTTCATGATTAACATGAGTTGGTTAACATGAGCTGCTTCTGTTTTTGTTTTTTAACAACCTTGTTCATGTCCTGATGCTATTCTCTCTCTTCACACAAACAATATAAAAAATATTTTAATATCACACAGTTCAAGGAATCCTTCATGGAGGAATGAGCAGCAAATTCTCCCAATTAATTGTAAGAGTACCATTGTAAAAATCACTTACAAGAGGTTATTTCTGCCAAAGCAGGCAATGCTAAAGATTGCCCATCAGTGCAGTTCAGATTGAGAGCCATTATAATATTGCCCTCATTTATGAACTTTTCATGGGGTGTGCTTTGCATGGCTATACTTAATGCTATTATTTATTTATTTTAGCAAGCAAACACATTTTGCCTGAATAGTGGCAACTATTTCCTGAGCTCTTTTAAAAGGTTAACTTGATCCTGGTGTTATTTCTCTTACAGGAGGTGCATCTTCACAAGAGATGGTGGCTCTGCTGGTACAAACAGGACTTTTTGACACAGCCTTGACACTATGTCAGACCTTTAACTTATCCCTCACACCTGTATTTGAAGGACTGACCTTCAAGTAAGTTGATCAATCTTGTGTCTGCCTAATCAAAATCAGCTGGCTGCTTGTTGTTCTGATTTCTGCACTGCATATTTTGTCTGTGTGTAGGTGTATCAAACTGCAGTATAAAGGCGATCGTGAGCAGACGGAGGTGTGGAACTGGCTTGCAGCTAATCAGTTGCCAACTGTCATTACTACTAAAGAGTCCAGGTCTGTTAAAATACTCCTTGACCTTGATCATTGCGATTGAACTCTGCTCTGTGTCTTCCTAACTGAATTTCTCTCCACACAGTGCGACAGATGAAGCTTGGCGGCTGTTAGCTCATTATTTGGAGAAATATCCCTCACAGAACGCTCAGTATCATCGCTGTGTCCTCAACAAGCTGCTCTCACATGGGGTGCCAGTGCCTGATTGGCTGCTCAATGCCTACAAGGTGGATGATTTTTTTTTAAGCATTACATCTAATAGACAGGGGTCATTAATTAAGAGATTATATTTTCCATGATCTTTTGACATATAAGAGTAATATTGTAATATTAAAAACATGCTGTAAATTTCAGACCTCAAAACTTGTGAATTCAAAAACGGCTTTTATTCAGCCTTTCATTAAGCTTTTTTTTTTTTAAAGGGGTCATATGATGCAATTTCAAGTTTTCCGTTCTCTTTGGAGTGTTACAAGCTGATTGTGCGTAGATAAGATCCCTGATGTTGCAAAGACTAAAGTCTCAAAACCAAAGAGATATTCTTTATCAAAGTTAAGACTCTGCCATGCCCCCTTAAAACGGCTCGTTCTAACACGCCCCTACATATCTACCTCACTATGTGGAAATATTAGCATAATGCCGCCCAAATGTTCACGCAAAGAAAGAAGGCGTGGTTTCAGTAACCGCAGTTAGTGTTGAAGCAGCATGTCAGGGAGACGCTGTGTGTTTCTAGGCGAAAGCAAAAGCACTTTATTTGGCCTTCCGAAAGTAGATGCATTTAGGAATCTTTAAGATTACTTACAACAGAACAGCAATGCATTTTATGGACGACCGTTTCGTGAACCTAGGAGAGGAGGTAATTATGACTTTGCTATGACAATCTGTCGCTTCTGAATCAGCTACTGTTTTGTTATTAGTTTAAGTATTTGCTATTGACTGTTCAAATGCGGAGTTTTGCGCATCGCGTGTGTGCGCGCGTGTGTGTGTGTGTGCGCGCACGCGCGCGTGTGTGTGTTTGTGTGTGTGTGAGTGAGTGTGAGCGAGAGAGAGAGAGAGAGAGAGAGAGAGAGAGAGAGAGAGCAGCGTCATAACGGTGTGTGTGACGCGACTCTGTTC